GAAAAAAAAGTTAGAGAGGGAGAGAGCCAAAGCATAAGAGACTGTTAAAAACAGAATAAACTGAGGGATGATGGGGAGTGGGAGGGAGCAGAAAGTGAGTGATGGGCATTGAGCAGGGCACCTGTTGGGGTGAGCACTGGGTGTTGTATGGAAACCAATCTGACAATATATTTCATATTTTAAAAAATTAAAAAAAAAATTAAAAAATAAAAAGGATAAATTTAAAAATAGACCCTCATAAATGTTGGATGCCATATAAAGATGAAGGCAGAGTTGAGAGCAATGCTTTTACAAGCCAAAGAATGCCAAATATTGCCAGCAAACTACTGGAAGCTGAGAGAGAGGCCTGGAAAAGGTCCTTCCCTAGCACCTTCAGAGGGAGCCTGGCCCTACCGATACCTTGATCTTGGATTTATATCCTTCTAAACTATGAGACATTAAATTTCTGTTGCTTAAGACACTTAGTTTGTGGTACTTTGTTACAGAAAGCCTAGAAAACCAATAGAGCCACCATACACCAAGTCATAAAAATGAAAACAAAAAGCTGAAATACCCCAAACCATCACCCTGGACTTCTTCCTTTTTTTCACCCTCAAATCCAACTGCTCAATAAGTTAAGTTCTTTCTCACTCCTTGAAGCATTCTTGGATCAATTTCTTCATCATCATCATCTCCACTGCCACTGTTCTAGGTCTGGCATTCTTCCATTGTGTAGGCTCTTATAATAGACCCCTTTTGAATCTCTCCTACTTCTACCTTTATCACCACCCCATCAACCTTCCATGTTGTTAGGAGATTCTTGAAGAGAAGCTGGAAATGTCTCCTTATCACCCAAGCAATAAAAAAAAAATCAAACACCTTAGTACCCAAGGTCTTTCACGAGAAATCATTTTACCAGCTTTTCATACCTATGCTTTAGTAATGTTGAACTTGTGTCTCTTCCTTGGATATATCATGCTCTCCCATTGCCTCCACAAATGCTGCTCCCTTTCTTGAAACATATTTCTCTTCCTTTTTCCTTTCCTTTCCCCAGAAACTCCTACTAATTCAGCTTGAACTTTATACTGTGACTGTTCTTGTGCTGTCTCCTCAACTTTACCATGAGCTCTATAAACACAGGAATTGTCATTTGCATCTGTTTTCCTTGGTGCCTAGAATATATTAGAATAAATATACAAATAAGAATGTTCTTTTGTTTATCCACAAAGTAAAAATATTAGAGCATAATATTTACAAATAACTGTGTGTATTAAAACTATTCTTTAGGTAAGTTAATTCAGTTTTGATTATTTTTTTTCCCATAAAGATGGCTGGTCATATCTGTCTTTCATAGTTCAGGATATGCTGCAAATCTTTTATTTTCCTGTGTGTTTTGCAGTCTCCAATGAGAGAGTTCTATTGAAGATCTATTAGTTCAATGGTCACTACAGGACACAGTTAAATTCATCTTTCCATTCTTTAGACCTTTAAAAAATTTTGGGTCTGTCAACTCTCCTTAGATATCTTATAAAAGAATAAAAACAGTCAGTTTGCTACTACAGTCATATAGTGACATAAGAGAAATTAAACACTGCATTACTATACAGAATGCCTAATTGCTGCTTTCTCCTTAAATAACCAAAATCATGCTTGATACCATTTTGTTTTATGAAGGGAAAGGGTGAAATGATCCTCATTTATATTAGGTTGCATAGGTTGTTTGATAAAACTCCACCTTCCCCCAATCTAGTGAGTTGCCTCATGTTGTATTATTGCCTCCAGGTAGCAAACGCTGGAGCACATTTTTATTTTATCTTTAAATAGTAAGAAAACCATTCCCAGTTATGCATATCTCTCTTTTTTCCCTCCCTACGTAGGGATAGGGTGCCAACATACACATACAGAGCTTAGTTAACACATCACACACACAAAAAGACATATTGTCAAAAAATATTCAGTGTTTTCTTGTGAAACAGTAGCAAGTCCCTTTGGACCACAACATTGAAAATGTTCCACTAAACCTTTAATGTGAATTTGCTCAATGGGTCTGTGCATACAGGTGTAGAACAACTACTAGATTTGATATCTGAATGAATTCAAGTTCCCATTAGAGCCTGACTGCTTCAATGACCCCATTATTTTGCTTCCGCTGCTCCCAGAACTGATCAACTTAATTATTCTGACTAATGAAACATTTGGGACATGAATTTCTGATTTGTTTTAAACCACATGGGACATCTAAAAGTGCTTCACTTGAAAAAATCACAATACAGAAGAAATGACTATGAGAATATGTTAGATGCTTAGAAGTAGGGCAGGGCAGAGATCCATGCTGGGTACACAGATACTCCCTTTCCTGGAATGGTACTGTGTTTAGATTACTCTTTATCATCAGTTAATGGTTTACATATATGAATCTCATTATATTATATTCACATTTGCTATTCCTACAATATTTACCTTTCCTCCCAGACTCTTCCTTTTCTTTTGTCAAACAAGACAGTTTTTCAATTCATTTTTCTACATGATTCATACATGTAGCCCTTCCTTCCCCCCCCTTAAAATATCAGTTATCATATTGTGTACATTTCCAATCTCAGTAACATTTCAGTAGTAACATGAAGCTAGCATTGCAATCATCCCTATGCAGCCATAATAATATATGATGAAGTGGAAAACATTCTCATAGTTTATATACTTTATTGTACTAATCACTCCTTGATGCTTCCATTTAGTTCTTATAGCTTGTTATTTATGATTTCCCACATTTTACTTCAAAAGTTTCTTTGTTTGCCTTATGTGTTGTATTATAAAATGGTATGTTAACTTTCTGTTGTAATTAATCACCATGACAACATCACACACCAAATTAAATAAAATAAAACTTCAAAATTTTTATCAGCTCATAAGTTTTATTTAATTGAAATCATTAAAGTAGATAATTTTGCTTCATGTTTGGATTCTATTTAAATTGCTCATATAATTTTGCATTGCTTTGTATCAAGTCTTCTATATACCATTATAATAATTTTATATCAATAGTATACATTAAATGAGGAAAAACAGCATACCTTTTTTTTTGAAAAAAAGATCTCTCTTAAAAATATGCTGCTTTCTATGGAGGTCTGGGTGGCTCAGTCAGTTAAGTGTCTGACTTTGACTCAGGTCATGATCTCATGGTTCATGAGTTCAGGCTCCATGTCAGGCTCTGTGCTGACAGTTCAGAGCTGGAGTCTGCTTTAGATTCTGTGTCTCCATCTCTCTCTGCCCTTCCCCTGTTCATGTTCTGTCTCTTTCTCAAAAATAAATAAACATTAAAAATTTTTAAAAAATATGCTTCTTACTAAAAATGTATTGTATATGTTAAAAACTACATTATGAGCCATAACACACAGCATGCCTTCTTTTTGTTGGGAACTAGACACTTGAAAGCACCATGGAAGAAAAGAAAGAGCAATGTCCTAGGCCCTGAAGAGAATGGCCTACTGAACTGATGCCTAGTTTTTGTCAAGCAAGAATAGGTATAATATTTCAGACCTCACATGCTTACTATCAAGATAAGATAAAATCTCTGTAGAGTACCAGGGAACAATGTGTGACATATAATAGGCATTCAATTCATTCCATGTTAGCTACATATAAAACTGAAACTTAGTTGTGTGTGCCAATCTGGTGGAGGGGAGAAAAACTATCAACTGACAGGTAAAGGTTAAGATATGAGCTACTGAGTATTGAGAGGAAGGTAGAGAAACTAAGCAATAGCAAGCTTTACACTTTGTGTATTTATTTAGTAGGGGCAAAGAATTTATACTGAGGAAAGATATAAAATGCAGATTGTCAGGATTTATGATGAAAAGATTTCTCATTACTATAATAAACGGTGATCAAGAAATGCCTCATCAGACTTATGGAAGATAATGAAAGCAACTACAACTTCAATTACATCCCTGATTTATAGATAATGTTGCAACATCTCAAACACTGAACATATTTTACCACAATCTATTTGCATATATGTGTATATGTGTATGTGGTTTAGGGGTATGATGAAGAATCATTTTTCATTTCATTCTTTTCAAATTACAACGCACTTAAATAACTGTTCCAGAAAGAAAATGCAAATGAACATTAAACTACTTATATTCCTTCAAATTTTTTTCCAATATGTGTCAACATACATGCATTATAGATATAATCAGTGTTTATATAATCTCTTGTGGTCTAATTCTTTCACTTAACATTGTTTTGTGTTTTGTGAATTGTCATGCAACAGAACCACCATTGAACTGTTATCTGTTTCTCTACAGCAATCCCAACACTTCATTTTGTGCTTAGACATTCTAATAGCTGTATGTTTCTAGCTTACTGTTAATTAATTTTAAAAGTTTTAAAAAATTTATTTACTTTGAAAGAGAGACTTTGACCCTCCTCCACTCATGCTCTCTTTCTCAAAAATAAACATTAAACAAATTTTAAAGAGAGGAGACAGAGACAGCACTCTCTACATTGCCAGAACAGAGCCTGATGCAGGGCTTGAACTCATGAACCGTGAGATCATGAGCTGAGCCAAAATCAAGGGCCAAGACGCTTAATGAACTGAGCTACCCAGGCACCCCCTTACTGTTATTTTAATTTGAATTTTTTACCTGTAGGCGAAAAGTGTGTTTTTCCGTGTGATGATTTATTGCGTATGTTTTAATCCACGTAGACTTCCTCTCTTCACCTCTTTTTTCTCCTTATGTGAACAGCCTCGTGAACCATGTCTGTAAGCCCCTCACAAATTATGTTCAATATCGACATGATCTAATTTGTTGATTACTGCACCAAAACTGTATAACTAAATGGTATAGCTATATATCTAATCAGTGTCAATTCTTTGATGCTTTGGAACCCAATATCCAAATGGTCTTTAATTCCTCTGATAAATCTCTAAAAGTTTTCTCATTCTATTCCTTTCTCTCCCAGATGACTTTGGTCTCCTCACAGTTAATTTATCTTTTTAAATGGTTTTTGTAAATTTTACTTGTAGCAAGAATTACTATCAAACTCCATTCATTGGGCCAGAGACCTTGTGGTGTTAGTGAAAGACTTGCCCCTCATGTAGTATACTATTTGTGGGTTCCTCAGGCAGCCAGTGGCCTTAACTCCAAGCTCTATGTGCAGTCACAAGTTTTAAAATCAATTTAGGAAGATAACTAAAATACACACCTGACCATATAATCCAGTCATTAGTTAGTAAATCTCTATTTATTGATTACAGGCTAAAAATAAACTTTTTGAGAATAGCCTACAAAGCTTTTATAATCTGGCTTAATCTCATTCACAGCCCAGCCTTATTCTGTCATTGTTTCCATACATTCTACATTACATCTAAATGGACTGCTCATTGTTCTTGAATATCCTTTCTTGCTTTTCTTCTACCAGGCCTTTTACTCATGTCATTTCACCATCCTCATTAGGCTCTGGTCCCCTTTCTCACCATTCTACTCTGAGTGTCTATCTTACACATCTTTTACACTTCATCTTAAATATGACTGACTTCCTAAAGCTTTTTTCTAATATTTCTCAACTGAATATGGCTTCTCCAATATTTGAACCCCAAAGCAGCTTGTAGTTTCTTTATTTTCTCAGGTAAGAATTGCTTATTTGTTTTATCCTCTTTTGAATAGCTTGTAAGCTATTGAGGACAGGGGCTGCAACTCACATTTTTCTGCAAATGCTTTGTAAATAATAGGTGTTCAATATTTTTTCTTGAATTAAATATTTCCCAAGGTCTGAAAATTCTTATAACACCAAAAATATTGCCCCATATATGTTTGGATCATCCCAGCACTTAGCACATATAGGGAATGAATAAAAATAAGAAATATGAATGCTTTCAAAGTTATATGATTGGATGTAACTGAAGAAAATATATATTCCTATCTTTCTAAATATAAGGCATGCCTCCCCACTCCACTTATATCTCATAAAAAGGAAACTATCTTATATTCAAGTCCTTACAAATTCTTTAATTATAAGTGCCTTATCTAAATTATTTTATTTTTAATATTAAAGTGCTCTTTGAAGAACTCAGTATGGGACCTCAATTAATATAAGTTTTAGGTGAGGGGTGCCTGGGTGGTTCATTTGGTTAAGTGTCTGACTCTTGATTTTGGCTCAGGTCATGGTCTCACAGGTCTTGGGTTTGAGCCCCATGTCGGGTTGTGTGCTAACAGCATGGAGCCTGCTTGGGATTCTTTCCCTCTCTTTCCGCCTCTCCCCCACTTGTGTGTGTGTGTGCACACATGCTCTCTCTCAAAATAAAATAAACTTAAAAAATATGAGTTTTAGGTGATTACAGAGGCACATTTAGAGAATTGGGGTGGGGGATTAAAGACAATGAAATGTAACATAGACCTAAGGATTATTTAGGGGGTGTGACTTCACAATATTAATCTTTTATATCATTGTAAAAAAGACTTTGAAAGATCACTTAAAATTGCAAAGCAGTAAATACCTAGAGAAGATAAAAAATACATTTAGAATGAATTGGATAATCAATTTACCTAGTACTATGCAAATGGATATTTGTGGCTTGAGATCAAGATGACAGTGATGCACCTATTAGTGTTATATCGCTCTCTACCTAACAACTTAGATGAACATGAATATAGTGTGTTCCAGAAAACTGTTAGGTGACTCCAAATTGGTTCTCAAGCTTACAGAAACAATGATGTCAAGGATATTTGTGAGAATTTGAACAAAACTGTTTTTGCAAAATGGGATGGTGGGGGAAGAAAGCAGTAGTTCTTCATGAAGACATTATTTTAAGCCATATGCAATTTGAATCCATCCATGTAATTAAATTTATCACACTTAGATGCTTTACTGTATCATTTACATTACCAAAAAGCTATTTATATTCAAAATGGTCAAAAAACTTTAAAAAATCATATTAGGAAAACGTAGGCACACCTTATCCATCACATCTGTTACAAGCTTTTGAATACAGGGTAGTACACATAGCTTCAAAGCCCACAGTAATACTAAGAACTGCCATTTATTTAGTATTTACTAGGTGCCATGCACTTTGTTAAGTGACTTGCATATCTTACATATCAATGATTCTTCAAACAATCCTATAGGGTAGGTATTATGAAGCCATTTTACAAATGAATAGTATGCCTCCAAGAAATTAAAAACTTGCTCAGGGTGCCTGGGGTGCTCCACCGGTTAACCTTCAGGCTCAGGTCATGACCTCATGGTTCCTGGGTTTGAACCCCAGGTTGGGATTGCACTGACAGTGTGGGGCCTGATTGGGATTCTCTCTCTCACTCTTTCTCTGCCCCTCCCCTACTTGCATTTTCTCTTTCTCTCAAAAGTAAATAAATAAACTTTAAAAAAAAGCTTGCTCAAGATCATACAGTTAATAAGCAGTAGACCTCAATGAAGTTTCTAAGTCTATAACCTGAACCACTACACCATATGACCTCCATAAGCACTGTGCCTGAATTTCTAAGTCTGTGAATTTGACAGGATGGTGTTTTAATATAAACAAATGTGAAGTCAAAAGTAGAACAAGAACAAGGAGCTTTGTAATCCATAAATGTATTACCATCTTCAATACTAACCCTTTTAATATATTTTTTTTATTTTTAATACATTTTTAAACTAAAACCCTAAAGAATACCATACTCATAATCTATCTGGCCTCACAATTCTATTTCTGGTGAGAGTCACCTCTGTAGAAAGGAGTGGTGTGTCCTCGGCTTCTCTAACCTTCTACTTGTTAACAATGGGTTTACAGCGCACAAATTGACCTGAATTACTTAAACCATTTTTAACATTTATTTATTTTTTGAGAGACAGAGACAGAGCATGAGCAGGGGAGGGGCAGAGAGAGGGAGTCACAGATTCTGAAACAGGCTCCAGGCTCTGAGCTGTCAGCACAGAGCCTGTCGGAGGGCTCTAACTCACAAACTGTGAGATCATGACCTGAGCCGAAGTTGGACGCTTAACTGACTGAGTGACCCAGGTGCCCCGACCTGAATTACTTTACTATTTAAAATGTGCTATTTCTTTACAACTTCTGAGGTAACTTATTCCATAAGTCATGTATAATAATTCCCTTTCCCTATTTTTTACCTCTGTAATGTTTCAAGGATACTCAGTTTCGATACTCTTGGGTTTGGTAAACAGGTTTGCATATGTCCTATCCAAACCTGTTTGATGGATTCTGAGCATAGCCTCACTCAACCATTATCCTTCCTAACAGAAGAGCCCTAATTTTTTAGCCTTTCACAAGTAGCCTCACTACTTGCTAGTTCATTACAAATGTTTTCTCATCTTAAATAGCAGCAGCAACTTTTTAAAAAGAAGGAGAAACCAGAATTATATTTCATTAAGTCTGGAGGACCGTAATGTTGTACTAAGGAAGTAGCCTGTCTTCTGTTTGGATGCCAATCTCTTTCCAGACACTGACCAGCAGAATGTTGACCTTTGTGGGTATAGTAACTTCTTGAACTAATTTTTTTTAGGGAACAGTTACCAGTTACTCCAAGATTCCTTTTCAAGATTGGAACTGACAAGTAGGAGCCTGCCAGCCTATGAATGCACCCTGGCTTATTTAGCCTTCATTTTTTCCCATAACTGCATTACCTTACCCACATGTAAGCTAATCTGCCACTTCTATGCCCACTCACAAGCCTCAAGAGAGCTTCCTGCAGTTTATCCCTAGCAGATTGACATTTCACCTTCGGTGAACTCAGAACAGTTGAGGGTCAACTGAAAACTCTTACTTAGGTTTCCTTAACTTATTGATAGAATCAACTACTTCCTCAAAGTAATTAAAGTAATAATGTTTGAAATAGAAGGAAAAATATTAAATGTAAAATTATCTTTAAATTAAACAAGTGCTTCATATAATGATAGTTTTTTTCTCTTAATTTCACCCTTCACAGTGTTGATAAAAAGTAGATGGTAATATAAGCCTAGATTTAGACATGCTACTGGCCTCCAGTCTCTGAAGGCATAAAACTGAAGGATTAATCTGCCAAATATCCTCAAATGCATTTACTATCATTGTCATCGATCCTTCCAATTGATCCCCCCCCCCCAGGTTGCTTTCTAATTCTATATCCCTCTTACATATTTAAAGAGCTTAATGTTTATCATTACTTCATTTTTAAAACTTTTATTTCCTACTCAAGGAAGCCTTATTAATTTTCATAAGACTCCCTTTACAGATTTTAAGATAAATAAAATAGATTTCCAGTCTTTTCAGATATGTTTCAATTGTATCAGGGCTTATTATGAATTAAGAAAAAATCAATTAGCAGAATGGTAATTTTCCCAGACATTTCAACATAAAATAATGAAGACATGATTTTGAAACTCTGTTGTAGCTAATTTAGTATGTGAAGGAAACAGAATTCTGAAGTTTGAGGTATTTTTTTGAGTAATACAAAATTAATTGGCACAATCCAACTATACTTACTTTTGGGTGTGTCTGTGTGAATGCATTTCACAAAGTGGTTATTTTGGAGTAGGTAATTATAATTTAGGTATCTCCCTTGTCTACAGCCTTCAAAAAAATGAATTGAACAATTATAGAGTTGACTTAATATCTACTCTGGTTTTAAGTTCTAGTCTGAATATAGGTTGCTTTGCTAATTAAAGTTCCTAAATAATCTGACTCAAATATCATGTTATAAGTAGATGCAGAATGATATAGTGGAAACAGCACAGAATTTGGATTTGGAGATCCTAGGCTCAAAGTTTGCTCAGCATAATGCCAGCCAAGAAATAGAAATGAATCATTTAACGTCTTGAATCCTCAGTCTCCTCACCTGCAAAATGAGGAGTGTAGTCTTATCTTATATGTTTACAGGTTTCTTCTGATGATTAAGATATGGTAAAATTAGTTAATAAACAATAGCTTATCAGGTAACCATAAAGTTTTATTATAATTGGTGTTATTAACTGCAAGGCCTATCTAAAGATAAACCCTCTTTCAAATGAGCCACTTTGTACCTTTTGTACTGTTGCCTTTCTATTTCATACTATAATCACTTGAAAAATATTTATGATTTTATGGCTGTATTCATAATAAAAATTATTTTTTCCATGCTATCTTAATAAGCACAGAGGAAATAGCCTTGTTGTTTTTATTTGCCACTTTCT